TTGACCCTTGAACTCCCTGGGGGTTAGGGCACTGACCCCATGCAGTCAAAAACCCGCATATAACTTTTGACTCCCCCCAAACTTAACTACTAATAGCCTGCTGTTGACTAGGAGCCTTACCGATAACATACTAGTAAACAGTTGATTAACACATATTTTGTATGTATATGGTTACATCTATTACATACTGTATTCTTACAATAAAGTAAGCTAGAGAAAAAAACATGTTATTAAGAAAATCATAAGGAAGAGAAAATACATGTATAGCATTTATTGAAAAAACCCACATATCAGTGGATTGTGGTAGTTCAAACCATGTTGCTTAAGGGTCAACTGCAGAGTCACACTTCACTCCGCCTTCCTCTTATAAAGTCCTCCACCTTTAAGTGAATCACACCTACACAGTCCCTTCTACTAGGGAAGGTAACAGTGCAAGTTCCAGGGATTAGGACCTGGACATTTTGGGGAGCCTTCACTCGGCCTAACACATCCATGACCAACAAACTGTGACCTTTCAATAAAGACCAGGTCTGCGGGCGGGCTAGGGTGAGGCCTCACAGGGAGCAGGGTCAGATCCTGTCTTTATTGAAAATGTTGATATTTTGTTCACGATTTTTTGCATTAATTGACATTTTTAAAAAATGTTCCAATAGAAGATCTCCCTTGATGGATGAAGGATTTGGAACTCCCTTAAACGTTGCACCTGTGGGAGCGCCTCACTTGCCCCACCCAGTCCAGGCCCTGCTCACTCAGCTTTCAGATGAGCCCCCACCCGCCCACCCCAGGACGCCCTTGAACCCCTCCCTTGCAGAATTCTGCCCCCAGGCCCCTGGGACCCCTCCTTCCTGCCCGGGCTGCACCGCTGGCCCCCAGCTTTGCTTCTCTCCCACCCGCCCGTCCTGGTGCAGGCGGGGGGCTGTGCACCCACCTGGGTCCTCACACTCTGGAAGCCGGGGACTGTGGGCTCTTTTCCCCGGGACAGAATCCTGCCTGGGAAGATCAGAGACTTTGCAGGAAGATCCTTTAGGCTTGGTGATCTGTCACTATCTGTGTGAGATCATCAGCTGGTGATCTGCCGGGACATCAATCATTCTCGGGACTGGACTGCACAGGCCCCTGTGTGAAGTCCCCAGCACTGTCCCTGGCCTCGCGCCAGCTCCGGAGCTGCAGCCCAGCTTCAGGCCTGGGCCAGCACTCTGGTGGCAGGGTGACCAGACTTGGTTACCGGACCCTCCTGAGCCTCCATCGCCGCACCCGGAGCACCTGCTTCCCGGCCTGCTGGGGTCGGGAGCTCCTAAAGCCAGTCCTTGGAGGGAGTTGCTAGTATTCCTGGGGTGCGTCATCACACGGGGTATGACGAAAAGGGGGAGCAGGTGTTCGGAATCGCAGATCTTGCACGGGTTTCAGCCTCAGGCTTGGCAGCTCAGGCATTCGCAAAGTCCCGGGGCCCTTCCTCCCTTCCTCCCTCCCTCTGGGGTCCAGGCCGTGGACTGCAGCCGGAATTGATCTATGTGCGCACTTGGCGAAGATGCGATCCCAAGATCACGATCTCTTCCTTCTTCTTGGATGGTCTATTTTACTTCTGACCATGCACACTCATTACCGTAACCATCTGAGAACTGCGAACATGTTTGTCACGTGTACAGCAGACAAGATTTATTTGACTCTGGATATTTGATCTAGACTATGATTCTCTAAGATTGATGTGATGGGCAACTGTCCTGGGCTCTACTACCACCCTGCTTGCTATACCCTTCTGTGTCTATCACATCACTACACATACCACCCTAGATGTGTTTATGGAAAATCAAACGCAACCTCCTCTAAGCGGGATTGCAGAGGACTTTATATACTTGGAGTGCTACTTTCTCGCCCTTACCGAATGGCTATTTAGGTTCGCAAATTGCCGGCATGAACCATCCCCTACCCACTTGACATGCACAACAGTCGGATGTTGTGAATCCAAAACCAAAGCGTCAGTCACGAAGCCTACAAACACAG